ACTTCCATTTCTCATTATAAATCTGTATGTCAACCTGTGTTCAGTACATAACCTAGTATCGATTGTGGTTACACAAAAAAACGCAACCTACCTCTGGAAACATCTCAAACATTTTAATTACTGAATGGGAGCCCTGAGGTGCTTTACAGCATCACTACAGAAAATGCAACCGAAACCCAGGAGAACACACAGCTAGGACAGTAGTCAGCCAAACTTGTCATTCATCTGTGCATTGGAAAATCCCCATTCTTGAGGAAGAAAAAGGAACTGCTTTCAGCCTCACAGATTATCTGAAGGGGTCTGTGGGAACAGCAAAGCACTGCACCTGCCTGAAAACTGGCACCAGCTCAGCACAAGACGTTTCCAGAGACCAGAGTTAATATATGGGAGGAATGCACATAAATCCTGTTATTTCTTAATGGGATTTAGGAGCTTATTTCTCACTCTGTGCTTTCAAATGTACCCCACAGCCTCTTCTATTAATGAAATGAAGCACAGTGATTTTCTTATCACCAGGAATCATTCTTTACTCAACTATTTTTGGTACATATTTAACACAACTGTGAAAAACTAATATTATGCTTGATTACTATTTAGGATGTTAACATGCTGTGCTCTGGATAAGCTGGACTTTTCTGCTCCACTTAAACTTATCCTCATTTCAATAGTCCAAGAAATCTGGTATCATATACTAAAATTCACAGCAAAATAGAATTACATTGAGAGAGGTAAGGCAGTATCTAGCTGCAAGTAGGACGAGTAGAAGTTTATTTCCATGAATGTCATGCGAATGACAAGCCATTTCTGACTAAATAAACTTAGAATATTTACCAAAGATACTTTTCACCAAGGCTGCTGTCCTTCTTAGACACAAGCAGTATCTCCRCACGGGATATATGCTTCCCCGCATTTAACACATTTTCACCTTTGTCTCATTCAAGAAGGCAACTTGGGCAAGTACACATCTCCCTCCAAACCAAGGATCTACTGAGTGAACCAAGCTGAGAGTTAACATACCTAGAAGGGGACATAAACTCTTTTARGTAAGATGAAAACATAGAAAGGAAAAACTACCCAAGTTGGAATCACATGTAAAAAGAGAAAAACCATCTACTGCACTTAATCTACGTAGTGSTGACCAAAACTAACTTTCTATAGCTCTAGTACTAGACCAAGAATTTTGGTCACGTTCAACACCCACAAAGGCTGGCACTCAATGCAGATCACTATTGACTTCCTGTGAGGAAAACCAAGAATCAAGGTTGTTCCAGGTGGGCGGTAACAAGCTGGATAACACCAAATTCTGCCTGCGGACAAGCTAGTTAGTCTTGATGCCAAATCATTTTGCTTTTTCATTACTTGGATATTCCTTTTCCTAAGCTTAAGATAAGGCTCAAGTCAGACAGAAAGAGCAAGACTGCACCAGGCAGTCTGGAAGATATTGGAAGGATGGCAGAAAGCCCTTCATTGTGTGGTTGATGCTCACATCCCTTTTTTTTTTTTTTTTTGGGGGGGGGGAGCAGGATGTCTCAGCTTTCAAGTGAGAAAGAACAGGAAAGATTTCCTCCTAGGCTGCTATATATTGACTCATTCAGGGCTTCTGACATATTATACRCTAATCTTGAGTTCTCGGCTGCCACCAGATGGTGACCCACTCAAGCTTTGAAAGCATAGAACACCTGGGGAARGTGCCCAGGACCTAGACAGCTGTCAGTGCACATCATCTCAGCAGGGAGACACAGCTTCTCCAGGGTAATTACATTCTACACACACTTTCAGAAAAAGGGCATCACTCAGTTGCCTGAAGACTTGGAGTGTTGATCTTTGTTATTAAGGAAAACAAAGATATTGTCAGTAGACGGTCTCATCATGAATGACAAATCCCAGATCAACTGCCACTACCACAGAAGGTGTCTGCAATCAGAAAAGCTCCTGCTGTCTCAGCTGGTACAGCAGCCCTGTCCCAGTAAGCCTCTGCTCACATTAGTCACTAAAAATCTGCAACTGCACATTCAGTGCTGTGGAAGTGGATAAGCTTTTTGTGAGAGCCATCAGCAGCCTAATGGAGGTGGCTGACAACAGAAGTCTGTTCAGCAAGCAATTCCCTAGCTTTAAGGTAGACAACCCTGTCTCCTGTGCTGGCATCAGCAGTCTCTCACAAGACCCCACCTGATTTGAGCCCTGAGAAACAGGAGAGGTTGCCAATGAACTGCTCCTTTACTTTTTGAACCTATTACAGCATGAGCTCCCTTCTCTGCAAGCCACAGTTCACATCAGCCAAATGGCCTCATCATGTGGGATCAAGCTTCACCCATTGCCAGAGCATAGCAGCAGCATGTCAACATGCCAGAGATGATTCAGCACAATGAATCCCTTTGCACATCCACATACCCAAGTACTTTCCCAGGCCAAATCTGAATCAAGTAGCAAGCAGAGGGACAGTTCAGAAAGGTTTTTCTGTGATCCAAGGTCATTTGATCCTCTTAACACAACCCAAACAAGATGCCCATGAGAACAAGTTTATATTTCSTTCTGCTCATAGAAGCAGCTTACCACCGGCCTTATCGAGACCAAGCATAACCAATCATGGTTTAGTCTTATGCATCGCTACTTATTGATTTTCCAGTTGATGACAAGGAGAGTGGGGAAAAAACACTCCAGCCGTCAGCACCCTATCAATCCACCTATTTCAAGCGCAGGAGACTATGTTCAAGAAAGCTCCTGAGATTCACACGCAAAGCTCTTGACAAGAAAACTGTGCTCAGGACTAGGCCTTACCTGTCAAGAAATTGCCCTCCATATAGGTTTGTCTCCCCACAAGACACCCTGAACAAAAAGCTCTCCTGTTTTAACCACCTAAATGCGTGACAGTTGCATAGGTAACACTTTTGACATGCTTATTTTAGACTTGATTCTACCATGAGCTCAGCATTATGGCCTCACTCATGAAATCCTTTACTAACATGTCAATTTAAGTAGGCACTTCCATCCTCTTAAACATACATGCATTGGACAATGAAGCTCTCCTTGCATAGCAATGCATCTAACAGGACTTTCACCAACATGTCAAGGTAACTTGCTATTTTCAAAGGGACACTAAAAGTTCTAGGGGCTGAGCATACAGATCAGTTTTTATAGTTTACTGTCTTCCACAGCTATATGGTTATTACAAGAGCTGCTGGTAAGCACATAGATCTACTTGGTGCCAGAGTATTTATCAAATTCTTTCATTTAAGCATCTTTACAGGTGATACACAGCAGGGACTGGGCAGGGAACACAACCACAGTTTTATCCATTCATAGGAAGTTTCCAACATGATCCTGCAATCTGTATATATTCAAGGCCCCATCACTATCAGTTCATTCCTGGACATATCCTATCCAGGTGGAAAAAGATGGCTTCCAAAGGACTTATACAATATTGCAAGGGCCAGTATTCAAGCCTCTGAACTTACTGTAATCTCACTCACCTTTGTTTTAAACTTTTAACAGAGCCTTTCATCTGAAGCTGAGATGGACCATTTGATAGGTCTGATATGAGCATCCATTCCTGATGGCTACAAACTATTGTGTTCAAATACATTTGACAACCATTAAGTATTCCAKTACAATATGACAATGTTATATATACAGAGTCCTATTGCAACCTTCCACATTTAAAGTGACCCAAATCTACATTCATTTATACAAAAATATTTCACAACATTTTGTCTACTGAAAAGTACCTTTAAGTGGATGTTATTTGCCTACGGAAACATCGAGGTGAAAAACTCCTGTATGCATGATCCAAAATTAAACCTCTATATAGATAGCATGACACAGAATTGCCATTAGATTATTCCTAATGCCTTTCCTTCATGAAAGACCTAAGTGTTAAGTACAGAAGTGAACATTTTAACTCTAGTATTGTCTTTTTTTACTTTCACCCAGTTCCTCATTACTTCACAGTAGAATCAGATGAAGAATAATGAATTAGCTAAATGACTCATGTGTAATTCATTCTAAGCCATACATAGTCAAAGAAAACAATTCAAATGCAAGACTAAGCTAGATTACTTCTGTGCTGAAATCAGAAACTACAGAAAAGGCACAGGGGCTGCCTGGACTTCACAAAGCACAACTTGCATATGCATGCCRTTCTCAAACTCTGCTTCACTGATGCATAAATAAAAACACTAACCTTAATAGTACAAATCAAGCTGTAGCCACAAGTTGAAGAAAAAAGTCCTTTTGCAGTGTTGTTTCTGGGAAGGCAAGCAGGTACAAGTCATACAGCTCCCAGTGGTACCACACACTCCAGGCGTGCTTGACATTAAGGTGGCTGGTTGTTGTGGAAACCAAATCCCATAGATGATTWTGTTTAGCAGGCAGAGCCATCTCTACCCCGACACCCTGTCCCCAATTAAAAAGTGGGGTATGTTCTTAAATCATAGAACATCACAACAAAAAAATCTTGGTTTCACCACTATAAGCTTATCATATGTGGGCAACTTAAAAATATTTGTCCCTTAGTTTATAAAAGGAAAGGACACCAATTCAGTGAGGCTAGTTTTGATTCATGCAGCTATGCCGTCTCCAACGAGGTTCTGCAGGATGTTTAGTTCTTAGAAATCCTCCATAGAAATCCTCCATGAAAATCCTACAATCAAAGCCTAAATTCTTCCTTTCATSACATAAATGAGCTAAGTAACAATTATTTCATGAGAACTCTTCATGTCATTAACAGTCTCTATGTGAACACATTTTCACAGGGAGTTGCAGGATTTGAACAGGATGATTTAGCATTCCAGTATATGCTTTTAGCTGATGGTTCCAGYCCTTTTAATGCTTCACATATATCCCAGGTTCCATGAGGGAAATGAGACTTAAGTACATGTGCACTTAATGGTACACTGTATAAATTGACACTATAAACAAAAGGGACTAGACAGGCACTATAGAATAGGAATAAGATTAACAGCCACTGCACACGTTTTTAGAATGATAAATCTTACCTTGGAGAGATTTTAAGGCTATAGCTCAAAGGCACTTAGACATTCGTAGATTCCATCTGATGCGTTGAAAAAATGCATGACTTGATTACATTCAGATATTTGGATGCTTTKAAAAGTCTAGTCCTAAAATGAAGACCTCTATCTTATTTCTCAAATCACGCCAGCCGTACTATTGATCCATTGACAAAAKAATCACAAATAATTAAATAAATCTAGCAGCACTAGAGTTTATACATAGTAAATAAGACCATGCAGATGTGAAACTTGCTCACACAACAAAATATAAATGCAGCCAAATATGGATAAGTACATAYTATTCTTTTGTTTTACCACACATGTTTAACTAGCCAACCATTGCATTATGTGACTGAAAGCACTTAACATCTTTGCACTTCAGAGGAGTTTGTCATTTATTACTGGACATACTCAGATATGATTTTATAACATCAAGCAACTATATCACCAAGTGGAGAGTTCCCTACCTCCATCCATGAAGAGATTGTAGTGAAATACAGCCAGTTTCCAAAAGCAGAGATCCTTCTTCTGGGACAAGAACCATACACCTTGGTAGCTGCACAGAGCCCACAATTCTTTCACATTACCCAGCAAAAGCAGATCATGAGCAAACCCTTCCCCAACTTCAATAGGTGCTCAGCSGTTTTCACAATCAAGACAAACAGTGCCTAATCTACCATTTAAGTGATACTTTACTACTCTCACCCTTTAAATCAGGCACCCTTCCCCACCTGTTTATGTCATTTTAAACAAAGAAAAATACCTTGGAGATGATTAATGGCTCCCCATGCTCCAGTCCGCCTTTCAGTGYGAAACCCCAAGGAGCGCCTCCTTGTAGCAGTGCTTCCAGGTAAATATATCTTCCTTTTCGCCTAATGTTGGACTCTGAAGACGATATGCTCTTGTTAATATTGTCTAACATCCTCCTGTCCTATTACATACTCATTCAGATACAAAACCGACACAGATGATAAAAGTCCCTAAAAGCACACTACAAATCATTCTTAAGCAGGTGAAAGACAATTCAGAAATTTTTCTTCCAAGTCCAAGATGATATATTGAAGCTTTTTAAAAAGATCTCCGTAGGTTGTCYGTTCAGAACTTCAGCTTTCTAATGGCGTTTCAGCACTATGCTTCCTTCAGTCACTGACAGGTCTGTTAAGATTTATCCTCCTGTTCAAGTCTATCAAAATTGCATTTTTAAACGTCATTAAAAGTTTATAGATTTAAAAGCCATTGGCCACCAAAGYGCTGAAATCCAAACGAATGCTTCACTTGTGATTGATTATCAGCCTTTTCTTCCTTTCTGCATGCAATTTACCATTACAATGGCCTTTTTGCCTCAGTCCACTGCACTAAAAGAATGAAAGCGTCTTCTCCCTCTCACGCTCCCTCACTCTATCCGCTTACTTCAGTTTTCTGACTTGTCAAAAACCAGGGAGGAAAGCAAAAGTACATTCCTAAAATTATTTAGGTTTTCAAAAAGAAATAAATCCACACTTCTTGGTTTAAAAATATGAAAAAGTCCCCCTGGGACAAGTATAAACAGGTGAAATTAATCCTTTAAGAAGAAAGTTTAAGAGCAGAGCTCTTTTCATGTGCTGTGCTCTCCCCGTTCATCTGCCAAAGCTCCAGCAGCTACTGCTGCTGCGAGGGAGGGTGAGCGAGTGAGAGAGCAAGAAAAGGATTCAGGCAAACAAGGCAGCACTGCCCCATCATGCACATCAAGCACACAACTGAAAAATCCAGTCTGCAAAAACTGCTGCTCACCCTTTTATAATGCCCCAGAAACCTCCATCTTTCTATTGTACTTGCTAAAGAATTGTAGTAACTCGAACYGCCACTTCCTCAAAACACAATGGACCTATTCCAAATAAGAACAGTGGAATATTGCAAAGTAATTTTCCTCTCCAAGTGATTTTTATTCATGTGGAGCCTAACAACTTGACTAGATACAACTTTTCATCCAAATACAGTCATATGAAGTCAATCATTTCCTAGCATACATACAAATAAAACTAAGAGCTTAGAATATTTTTATGAATGTAGCCAGTCACTACTTAGTAGAACATCTCACTGTGCCTGCATCTGTACTTATATATGCACACGTAAACATGACTCACAGCTGCAGCAAGTATTGGCATTATTCCTGGTATGCTTCAGTTAAGATACTGACAAAAAGTTGTCATGTATGTGCCACTCAGAACGAGAGAAGCCCATACACCACTCCCTTTCCTGCCTGCATATGTAGCTGGGTAAACAATAATGCCTGTAAGGTAAATGCACTTGTGATTTCAGGGTCTGGAGTGTACAATATTCTTCCTCAATGCATTAAGAGCAGTAAAGATCTCCCATTCACATACCCCTAGTCATTTCTAGAGTGCTCAGATCTGGCTGTGGGGGGAAAGTTCTGCATCTAAAATATCATCTTTTCTAGTCCTTCACGCTGCCCTACTCTCATCTCATTTAAGATGGGTTACCCTTTGCATGGCCCTGCATTTGCCCTCTACCACAGCACCTACTCCCTATAGCCAAGAGGAATAATGGAAACATGTGATCCCTGCTTATTTTCAGCTGATCCTCAGTTCTCCAATTGAACTTTGTCCCCCATTGCTTCCCTTTCAGGGAACAATTTCATTTCACATCCTCATGTCTCTCAGATCACTTGTATCTGGAATTCACTCATTTAGAGCACTGCAAACCAGATAATGCTAATGTTTCACCGCAACCTTGCTCATTTCGAGCTCCCACAAAGAAGAATCCATTTCTGTCCCTCTCCACAGGTCTCTAAGTGGGGCAAGACTAGAAACCATCTCCAGGGGATTTCTGCTTCTCCTCTGCTTCAGCACTTAAATCCACATTAGGCCCAGTATCATCTCTCCTAATATTTCCTGACATTAGGTTGCATGTAAAGTGTAGTTCTCCTAGCACGCTTGCATGTTCAAGTTCTACAGCATAMTGTAGTTCTTCTGCATTATTTCCCACCAGCATGGATGTTCTGATAAACTAATAATTTAAGTCTCCTTTTTTAAGGAGGCAAAGGCCTCTCTCACCTGACTCACACCACACATGCAATAACTTACACCTGGACCACTTCCGAGTTTTTTGTCCAGTCATAAGCATTTGTTTCCTGAAATGTTGGCAAGATAAACAATAACTTGAAGCCTGAGAATTCARGAGTTGTTTTAAGAACCACTCAGACATGCACATTTGCTCCTCCTCATCATACACATGGGTACATCCAGTCTATTATCTCATTTTGTGGCAGGTTWTCATCTACTAAAAAGGAAATTGAGACATTTTTCTTAGATAATGCTCTAGGGTCTAGATCTTTCCTGTACATTTCCTACTCTGCATATAGTATACTATCTTCTGCTGCAAATTAYAGGGACAGTTTCACTTAGAGTCTCCAGTGCATTTTAATAGCTTTGTCACACTTGCACCACTTCAGAGTTCTCTCCCTGCTACTTCCAGATTCACTYGTTTTCAGTTTTTCAGCAAACTAATCCAATTGTAAAGAGGATGGCATAAAGATGCTTGGATACATCAGAAAGCCATGATCAGCTAACAAGAAAGACTTGATCATTAATTACTCAAAACCAGTGGCCAGGTAAGGTGCTGTTTTCTCAGTCTTTCTGCTCACAGACTCTAGTTCACAATCTCTAAGACACTCCCAGTTGTCCTATCAGTGATGAATGCAGTTGAAACAATAGTCTCCATCCACTAAAAAATATTTTCAAGTCTTAAACACAAGCTTGTTTTTTTAAAAAAAAATCTTACCTTCAACAGTTCTCAAATACCAGAACTATCTTGGCTTTTTTTTACTACCAGAAACTTGTAAAACAGAATTGAAACATCCTCTCAGAACACATAATTTTTCATTAGGCTTTAAAACAAGAGAGACCTAGGATCTGAAAAATACAGCTCCCAGAGGGATATGCTTGAATTAAAACTTTCAAATGTTTCAGTGTATGAGAAAAATGTAGGCTAAAAAAAATGGTCACAGTTATTTCCTTGAATTGTCTGGTATTTTATTACTAAATGTGTGTGGAAGAAATGCCTTTTTTTGCCTTCAAGKGGCCAAAATGCCACTTCACTTTCCAGCAGCCCAGTTCAAACTCTACACCGCTCATTAGGACACACTGCCTGCCCTCCTTAGTGCTGACTTCTCTGCCTTTTTTTACATTCCTTCAAATATTACATGTTTTTCTCCCAAATTAACACTTTCATTTGAGCTATACTGCCCTCATCTGTTGCCATCCAGTTAATACAGGTTTTTCAAAGTTTTTACTTAGCAATTTGTTTTTATTGATTTCAGTTCAGTTTTATTGATTTCAGTATATTAATAAACACCTACTATGCCTTTTTTCCCCCCCAGAAAGGAAGCTTTATTTTTATTTTTTCAGAACAGCAATCTGAGTCCCTGAGCTGGGGAAGCCATCAGGTCAGATAAAAAGGAAATCTAGCAAGGCCAGACAATACAGCTCCTCGGTGCTTCTTTCACTGCAGATTTRAATGTTATGATCAGTTCACATGTGCTTTCCCTTTTACTACATCTTCCACATTCAAAGGAAAATACATGCTTATTTCTGAAGAGAACTTGTAAAATAACGCTCCCCTCATCTGCATTGCCAAAACTCCTAAGAAATAACATGCTGAAATGGCTCAAACTTGTACATAACAAAATCAAAAGCTTAATTACCCAAAGGGCTGACCTTGGCAGAAAAGTATCCTCTGGAGCCAGCTCTCAAGTGCCTCACACTCCTCATTCTGGTTTTCTTCAACTTAACTCTGTTGACCTTACTGGACTAATTCTGCAAAAGCAATAAAGGGYCCACACTCACTTTGAAAGCATTCAACACATTTGTTTATATTTAAAATGTTTTAGTATCACTGAACATCTTCAAAATCCACTCAGACACCACCCTGTGCCATATGTTCTAGGTGACCCTGCATGTGCAGGAAGGTCAGACTAGATCATCTCTACAAGTTTCTTCAAAGGTCAAGGATTCTATGATACTATGATTCTCAATCCCAGTCTTTTCAAGCAAATAGGCGAATGAAAACCATTCTGGAGATGGTCTGAAAACACCCTGTATATGGCCATGCAAATCAGATGTGATACCAATCCAAGTTTTGCATTGCACTGGGATGGCTCTTCACAAAGCTTTTCCGGATTCTTCTGCAGCAGCAAGGCCATCAGGGCACCCAAGACCATCAGGTCTGCACCTAAGCTAAGAGCCTAACACTTTGGAGCTGCTACTGCAATTCTTAGCTACAYTCACTCCAAAGTAAATTTGCTTTTGACTTAGAGGCTTAAAAAGCTCCTGTCATCAGAAAGTACATGATGCTTTCCATATTAAATTTAAGATATATTGAAATAATCAAGGTGGACAAGAGGTGAAAAATGGAGATGCTCATACCTTTCACAGAGAAAAATCTCAGTTTCCTACTCTTCCCCCAAATCCTTAAAGGAAAAACTTTCACCTGTAGGAGGACAGGAAAAAAGTTTATCAAAGGCCACAAGTGAATTAGAGTATGGCCTCTGAGGTGAAAGATGACTCCTTTGGGTAACAATTCTTCAGAAGATTGTGTATACATACATTTAGAAAAGGTAAACAGAAAAGTGTTTTTTTCTACACTTACTTCTAGTCCCATTGAGCTGAATCTGTGAAATATTCATGCACTCAACTCCATAAAATGTCATTTTATGGAGCACCTGAAAGGGTCAAAGATAAGTCTTAATATGCAAAGAGATTGCCTCAAGTAGCAATGCTCAAAATATATGTCTGCAGAAGACCGTCCTAAGGCTGCACAAGCTGTGGATTTCAGTCCTTCTCCCCTCCAAGGGGAGAGAGTAAGCCTACTTGAAGGCAGGCCTGGGATAAAATATGAAAAAATATAGAGAAAAGGAACGCAAAACACCCCAAGATGAAAGAAGAACTGYGAAACAGAGGGAAGCTACAATATCATAAAACTGTTCTCTTAATTTTGAAAAGGTTGCTTACCTCTGAAGTCTGAAAAAAGTTTTGGTGAGCAAAGAATCCTCTCCATACAATACGGCCTTCAGCACTGAACACCCCTCCATTCCTCAGTTACTCACAGCCAACTGAAAAGGAACAAGACAGAGTGAGAAATAAATTATTCCTTCAGAGAGAAAACAACTGAATGAGTTGAATTCTGAGTAAATGATCGCACAGCCACAGAATTGCTTTTCCCCTCTCCATTTTCACCTCTCCCATGCAATTCAATAAAAAACGGATTCCTGCTAATCACTCTTTCAGCTGTGAACCAAAAATTAATAGAATTTCAAAACACACCCTGCAAAACCTACAACAAAGACAAATTAAAAGGATAATATCAAGGCTATTTCAGTAMCAGGAACCCCTGACTTTGCGAGTACTACCTTAAGCCCTTCCAGAGAAGCAAGTTCATTTTATGCTCTCAACACTAGAATCGATCAAAACTGACCAAAGYAGGCACATTGAAGACCAAGTATGCATTTCAATAACAAATTCTGAGTATTTGGATTTAACTGTTATTATCATGCCATTACCAAAAGAGGGTTACCTTGCTCAGGCTCCACCATATACTTCTTTAAAAGAAGAAAGTAGAAATGACTTGGATCAACATCATAGAACTGCAGTGTTTTCTTGAATTTGACCTTAGCAATTTACAYAGATGATTTGAAAGCCTGATCATTTTACATGCACTTCTCACTCATCAAAAACATGAGGCAACAATATTAGCTTTTAACTTAGATGCTTTCATATTGCTTCTATTATAATTTCTTTATTCTATAAAACTTTTTGCAAAAAAAAAAAWTTTAATTACTAGAAGTAGTTAGCACCTTCATCCAAAACTCAAGTCCCTGATGGTTATAGCCCAGATAGTTTCAAACTAGAGCCTCAGCTGGCATGCACAATTCCATTGTGTTGCTATACAGCCTTAATTCCCTGAACACAGCATRCTTTTTATGGAGACAGGAATTCATTTTTCCACCTGGCTGGGAAAACTAAATCTTACATTTTCTTGACAGAAACATTGCCAAAATAGAAATAAGTTATTGCAGAGTAACATACTTAAAAGAGTTATTCTGTCCCAAGGATATAACAGGAATTTAGAGGAAGAAGCAGCAGAAAATAAAAAGACATCAGTCCTCTGATAAGACCAAGCCCCAAGTAAMAAATGCACCTGTTACCAGGCCAGGAAATGTTCCCCTGTGCTATCAAGTTCCCTGCAGAAACCAGGGCATTTTGAACAAAACTTGGAAGAGAAATCCAACACTGGACACTTTTTTTTATTGGCTCTCCCTCATGCAAATGATCCACTTCAGAGGAGGGGTCTGTTCCCAAGGCTACAGAGTCCAGCGCAGGGGCCAGTGGCAGGTGGCTCCTAACGGCTCCTGCAGTTAGGAACTTGGTGCACACTCCACACAAAAAGAGCAGAAGCAAATATATGATCAGATCATACCCTTCACAAGCCTCCTTGCAGGAAGCAGTGCCTCAGGACACAGCATCCCCGACAGGGTGATCCTCACCTCATGAACAAACAAACATCAGAGGAGTTTATCAGCTCAAGAAGCCCATCAAGAGCAGCTGAAACCGAAGAAAAACAACTTGTCTCCAGTGTCTGTCAGAGGTAGGTACAAGCCCACATCTGAGAAAAGTTTTTAATGCTTCMTTAATACCTGAGACAAAGCATTAAAGCCTAGCTTGGCTCAAGGAGCAGGACACTACAGGATAACAGCACATGCCTTCTTTGTCAGAAAGCTAACCATGAAATTTCCTTCATCCTTTTTATTTTTGACAAARTTAGGACATATCTCTCCTGTGCTGCCTCATTTTTTCCTAATCAGTACTGCATAAAGACCTTTTTCTGTCTCACAAGCTGCATCTGTGTTTTACTACAGACACACAACCACAATTTAGGTTAAAAAAAATGTAAAAACCAGGGCTCTATTTCCCACTGGCTAATTCTCACCTTTTCTGCCTCAATCTGAARCAATCCCTCTTATACCTCCTTTCCTCCTCTGGCTTTCTTGCTTAGCCTGAGTAGCAATTGTACAGCTTGGTTTAACAACTTAAAAAAACATTATCTTCTTTGGATAAAGAGTTAAGCATTTTACTACTTACCGACAGTTATTTTACCAGACACACATACACATGCATGCAATTTTGCAGTTTTCCCTGAAAACACGAGCATTTTGGGGCGCTTCTTCCCGGGCCAGTACTCCCCGAGAGCCGCAAGGGGGCCCAGGCTGCTGGCGGTTATTTTAAACAGTTGATCAGGGACCGTTGCAGGCGGTAACGGCCGCACCTGAAGCCACCGCCCAAGATGGCGCAGGCGCCTCAGGGGCCGCCCTGCTCCCCACTCCCCTCCCCCCCCCACACACCGGTTTCCCGCCCCTTTTCCCTGTGGAGCCGCTGAAGTAACCGTTGGCGAGAGGACGCTCCTTTTCTTTCGGAAAGCGAAAATAAAGGTGCTATTGGGGGATTTTTAACTCCCGGGTGGAGCAAAAAGCTAATTAAATCGAAGTCATTTACAAGTCACCGACTCTGCGGTCGCTGAATCGATGAAAAAGTACAAGGCACTAAGAAGGCTCAATTTTAGGACGGTGCATAACGCCCCATAACGRCTTACTTCTTCCGTTCCTCTCCCCCACAAAAGAAGAACTCTAACCCCAACTCCAGCCTTACTATGGCTTTTAAGTGAAACATTAACCGACCATTCACCCCTACGAAGGGGGGTAGTAGGCATGAAGCAGTTTTTTTTCAGAAGAAATCACTACTGCTTARAAGAAAATACACTGTACTTGCTRCACCTTATTGAGACGAAATCCGGGTTGTTTCCAACCCRAAGAGRCAGGATGSGTGGTGGAAGGGTTTATAAAGGCTRGGAAGATTGTACCGCAGGTGGGTTGAGTTGTGCCCGCCCCCTCCATGGGGTATTTCTTACCCAGCCGAGGAGGGTTCCAGTTTAATACAGCCATTTTGAGAGGTTTTCTTCATCTCTCGTATTTTTTTTCTTGTCTTGTTGTGATAAAATGCACTAAAAAATGAGGTTTTTGCATGGCAGTATATGAGAATATTGAGAGAGGAGAGTTTTTTCTTATATGCTATCTTTTATGTTGTTTGATTGGTTTAGCCGTTGTGTACTGGTCTTTAGCTCTAATGTTTRAAGGGCAGGAGTCCAGATTAGCTAGCATGAGGCTTACCTTAGTCTATATTGTGTGTATTTCTCTGTATGTTGCTTCTTAAAYGTGTCTGTGAGCAGTAAAATCCATGTGGTTTTTGTGATGTTGATACTCAAAGCCTTTAGGTAAGGTCAAGATAAACAGGTAAAGAGACTAGCTTTGCCTTAATATATCTGAAAATGAATTTCAAGAATATGCTAATATGCTATTTTTCAATGAAGTATTCTTATAGAACTTACAGGACTTCCTAATAATTATGTATGAAAGCATGCTGTTTGTGAAAGTATGCTSTTGTGTTCACTGAAAGTCAATTACTGGAAAAACTTCATAAGTGAGAGTAGCTATAGCACTTCCTCTGGTTTGTGCATTATTGACCTGGGGGGTGGAGKATCAAAATGCCTTTTTTCAGCACAAAAAGTTACCTACCTAAATATTATAGTGCTAACATTTACTATTTTGGGCAGGTGCTGTAACAATGAGCAAGAATATTCAGGAAATAAGGTAGGATACTTATCAGAAATACTGCATCAGTTTTTTATTTTTTCAGCCATTGTGCACAYTGAAAATAGAAGCAAATTCACTGTGAAGGTATAGTTTGTTGTAATAACTTATCAGAAAAAAAAGTAAACATTAGAATTAATATAGGTGCCCAAGAGATTCTAAAGGGAGGGMTGTATTACAATGCTTGTAGTGAGTTATGTTCTGGATTTGCATGTTTTTCATCGACAGTGAAATATATATTTGTTTAACAGCAGAGTAATTTTTTTGTAAAGGTTGGGTCTAATATGGTCCTATACTATTGAAGTTTAAGGGCTCTGTTTTATTTGCTATTATGTTCCACCTTGGGAAAGAGATGCTTGTGAGATGAACTGAATTCTTTTTTCCACTAGAATTGCTATTAAGTTTATTATTATTATTATTGTTTAAGCTAAATTTAACAATTTGGATATGTAGCTGTGTCTGTATTTTTTTTTTGTGGTCTTTTTTTTTTTTTTGCTAAGTGCATTTTGATTGAGTTGGAAAAGTAGTAACTAAAGTAGAAGAATGGGAACATGAACTCTCTAAGCTTTAATCTAGTGATTAATATTGATGGCCTAAATCAAAACTTGTTTTAGTTATTGTCTTGAGATCCTTCATGCTTTTTGGTTTTACTCCACAGTAACTCAATATATTAATCAAAATCCTTTACTTTGCATGTAGCTGATTCCTGTTTCCACAGTTTGCAGGCTGATTTTTCAAGGTGTTTTTCCTTGTATTTTGTATAGCTTTATACCTGAGTGTTTCTCTTCCCTTTGTTTTAATGTGGTATGAAATGAAAATCCAGATTTCTCAGGATGAYGTGAATGAAGTTCAGGGAGACAGCATGACAAGCATGGTATACACACACATGCATATGGTGATCTCCTGTTTAAGGAGAAAAAAATGAGTCACTTCTGAATATAACAGCCCTGCKACTTATGCACAGTAGTTAACTACACCAAGTGACACTGAGCTGCCTGCTGTGTTGATCACATAATCTCCTGGCTTATGTGAACTTCTTTCTTTTTGTAATTTTATATTTCTGTTTCTGTCTCAGTGTTTTTTCTTCATGTATCTTTGTAATTTGTCTCTTTCAACTTGTAGATGATTTGCCAAATCTTGTTMATTTACTCACTTAAGTGGAATTACTTTCTCTTTAGTTAAGAAAMATCTCTTTTGCATTTGTTATCTTTTCCTTAATTCCCAGTGGCACAAAATGTATTTTCTAGGTTTATAAATGATTCCGTATATATTGTATAGACTTCAAATTATTATTACTTGAGAAATCCTTGCCCAATTTCAGCAGTCAATAAGTCTGTGAAGGGATTCATGTCCCTCCMAAGGATTATGATCATTGCTTGTAAATTGTTGTTATTCACAACAATTTTTTGTCAGTTTTCATTCCAAGTACTCAGAATTAAGTACAACYTTTGAACTTSATTATTTTTCCTTGTTACCTTTAGTGTCCTGTGAGTTACCTTTCCAAGGGAATTAAAATTATTTTGTATTTGTATATAAAGTTTGTACGAGTACAAATTCAGCTTGATGGTTTTAATAATCCAAAGTGTTCTTGCTTCAGTCAGTCAGCAGTGGATCCAGTGTCTATGACGACCCCTTTTTTTCACACAGCTTGCTGTTAAAATTTGCAGCCATCCTCCTCTGAGTCTTGTGGGTGTGATTTTTACCTCTGCTAAAATAAAAAAAAGTTACTTACTCCTCTGACATTTTGGGGGTCTTGCATTGCCTTTTAAACCAGGAACATCATTTAAGCATATGATTTGGCAAGCCCTAAAAGGGGAATGTGAATTAAATATTTGTAATGGGTTATCTCTCATTTTGAGATTGAGACAACCATTAATGCAAACTTAATGTTTACAAGGTGCATAAATACTGCTCTTTCAGACAGAGGAATGAGCARAGGATCTTTACTCTTTTCCATACTTGCTTACTGCAGGTTTTTGAGAGAAATAGTCCCTTTGGCAGCTGCTTTGAAGTCCCAAGAGAAAGGAGGGTTCTTAAATTCCCATCATGAGTCAAATGCTACTGAGAAAGTAATCATTAAACAGGAAAACTTCAGTTACAAGAAAAAAAGACTATTTTATCTGTTCCAAAAAATAATTATGAAGATTTTTTCTCCTCTATCCTCTTGTTTGCATCTCATCATTTTACAAAATGCTAGAACTGTGTAGGGAATGAACTGATGCTTAATCAATTTCAAGAAAAAAAGAATTAAGCTGTACTGATTTACTTTGGGAAATGAGGTTTTACCTAAAAAAACATTTATTGAATGGTACRAATTTTCTGAGGTGTTCCAAAGCCTGAAAATGACTGTTTCTCGGTTCTAAGAGTTTGTTTGCAAAGGGGTTAGGGATCCGAACAGTTGCTGAATGTTGCAGATCAAGTTTTGTGTCAGTAAAGTGAGAATGTACTGGCTGGTTGAGAGAAAAATACGGCTATAGAAGAAAATATGTTTTTGTAATATAAAACCATTTATTTTTTAGATGAAGTACTATTGTTGGGGCCTCTGTTAGGTGTGCTAATGGCAGAAATGTGTAGTTATCAACTGCTGCAACTTGACTGCAGTCAACTGCTCTGTCACTGTATTGCTAAATGTAAGTGTAAATCAATAGAACAGAAAAGCATCAACCAATTCTGCAGGTACCACTTGAGACGTAATGTTCTTGTGTATACTTCTGTATTTAGACCTACTGTTGCAATAAATGCTTTTATGTACCATTTTGCAGGGAGGCCCCAGAAAGACAAACGAAAGATGTGAAACTCGAGGAAGAATCTGTCAGGTTCTCAGTGGAATCTCTCACACATTCTCTTAATCGTGAGGAGACTTTACCAAGGGGCAACATGCCTAGCATGGGTAAGTACTAAGCAGATTTCAGAGAGGTTTAGGACTAAATCGTTGTTAATATTCCAGGCTATTACATTTTTAAAGATGGCTAAAAAGTTACTATTTCACATGAGAGTTGAAACATTGGTAGCTAGTTGCTTCCCRGTCTTGTGAAAACATTTTGACTTTTGAACAGTGGAAAAGGATGTTTTTGCAAAGATATAACAAAACATAGCCATTGATGGTGACTGCAGAGGGTTYTATACAAAAGTATTGTKCTTGACTTAATTTCATATGTATACWGGATCCCAGGAAAAACATCAGACAGGTTGCCAGACCAACAGTCTKACCAGCCAGCMAGGTGTCAGGGGAATGCAGCAAGGCCTTAGCTGTGCCAGCCACTGCTTGTGGTTGTGCTCCACACCCAGTGTGGTGTGTATCAGAAGGCAAGAATGTGCCTGACAGAAATTGCCTGAGCTTCTGGTCCTTAGGAAAGATGGTCCWTCTCTATGTAGAGGCAGATGGAGAGACATCAGTGCTCAGTGGCACTAATAGCCAGTTCAGGAAGAGATGACTGTTCTTCTGCGATGACCCCATTTCAACATGTATTTTTTCTGCTTTTCAGGTGCTGTTAGCCCTTTGCTCAGCAACCCAAACACTTTAGCTTCTTCTGTTTTCAGCACAGCAATGGAAACCTCAGCCTCTTCTGATACTGCTAGCAGCCACCCCAGAARTGTTTTCTATTCAAAATATGAGAAGGACATTGATTCCATGAAAAAAAACATAGGTTATTCTGGCAAAAAACACGTAGAGAATACCCAGGAAGAATACTCTCAGAAAGTCAGAGATCTACAGAGGTGGCTCAGTGAAGTAAGTTGCAAATTTGCCTAAGYACAGCTGAGCTTTTGTCATTGGTGTAATTGCTAGGTCTATGAACAGTTTGACTAATAGTACTTKCAACAGCCTCTTGGCTGTTGTATGTTCTACTTGGCTATTGTGRTTTTTAAGTACTATGTGGCAGACAGAAGAGTTGATAGGTAGTAGTGTTGTCACAGCCCCTCCACTGATGTCCCAAACATACTTGATTCAAACCTGTGCAGCTTGGGTAGCTAGTTAACCAAGAAATATTTTAAAAAGACCTGTTAATATCTGGAGTGTAGTTAGCCACTTTTGGTTTGGTTGATTTGACTTTTTTCTTTCCAGACCACAGAGCTACATGAGCAACAAAAAATCAGTTTAAAACAGACCATTTCTTATTTGCAAACAAAACTATTGGAAGTGCAGCTGGAAAGAGATACACTTGAGGATATGAGGTACCAATGTCAAGCCAACTGTACATTATGTGGAGCTTAGATGTGGGTGTTGAGGGGCAGACCAGATTTCCTAATGTGGGACTTGGCGTCAGGAGTAAAGATGATGAGATTATGGCRTCTTGGCTTAAAAAGCAGCTTATTAAATTGTCAAAATATTATTCTATTAAATCTTAATAAATTTATATTAAACTATTAACAATAATGCTACTCTTATTTGGAATAAAAATCTTGTTGAGTCCTATTTTTTAAAGTATTTCTTCACTTCGAAAATTCAGGCAAAGGGAGTCCCACAGCCAAGAGAGCATAAAAATGCAGCTTAAAACTACCATTCAGGAGCTAGAAACAGCCAATTGCCTGCAGGAGGAGATGCTGAGGGAGGCTGACAGCCAAAGAGAGCATCTCAAAAAGATGGTCCGTGACCATGAGGAAGTCCTCATGGAACTGCGTGGCATCCTCATGGACTACAAAGGCAGCCCAAGCAAGAAAGCCTTGCAGGAGCAAGAGCAGGAGAACACTGCCAGCTTCCACATCCACAATCTGAGCACAGCCTTTACGGAGGTCCTAAGGGATTTAGACTCAGAGGTGGTGTACCTCAAAGAAAAGGTTGTTCGGGTATGTGGAGCGTATGCTACTTATTTTTCTGCAATATTTTGTTATACAGAAACATGTATTTTGCAAAACTCCATGAGCTCGCATTTCCAYTGAAGAAAACAAAGTATTCATGTTTATTCACAAAATAGAGGTTAGCTGAAGTTTYCCCCTATAGAAATGATTATTGTGACAAACAAATGACAGAGCTAAGGTATACAATCTTTTTTTTCCAGACAACTCTTGCATTATTGTCCAGAAGTATTGTCCAGAGGATAACTTAGTCTTGGATTTTTAATGTGTAATAAATATTGTTTGCTTGAGAAGCCYGGTACTTTAATCGAGAGTGGCTGTTCATTCCCCCAAAAATCTATACCCTCAGTGGACATACTTGATCTGTATTACATGATTACTTAAAAGCTTTATGCAAAATCAAATCCACGCCAGGCATAAAGARGAAAAATATGCTCTTAGAGTTAATAAGGCAAATGCTGGCATGTTAGGCTTGTGCTCTGTCCTAGCTGCATCTGCATTAATGATGGGAATTCAACATTTGCAAATTTTTGTTGTATAACGCAGAAGGAATAGCTATGTTCTTGCTTTGCAAGCTCCTGTTTAAACTGTTTTGTTCAGGGCTTAGTGTTATATTTTTGTAATAGGTGGAGGAAGAGTTGGAATCACTGAAAAAAGACTCTCAGACCAAAACAGATCTTCTGCTTCAGCAGCATCAAAATAGGTACCTCTTCTCCATTTATTTATTTGTTAAAGCAATGATTCTGACTTTTTAGTTGTGGTAAGTTGTGCAGTGGTGAGGCTATGCAGTCCCTGTTTGGGGGCTCTTGATTATTCTGATGTTGAGTGTTTATTTGCCCATGATGCTGGTATTCTTTTCCTTCCATGCYGACAATTTCTAGTAATAATTATTTCCCAAAAGGAAATATTTACCAAGAATCTAGACAAAAAAGGTACCAGCATATTGTACTGGATTTTTTCCCAAGTGGATGTAGCACATGCATGTTATTCGCTGAACAAAGCATCAAGATCATCTTGACTGATGGCAGTGTCATTTAAGGCATTACAGTTTTCAGTCATAGCTCAGGGCTTGACTGGACACTTTAACCAGGGTCAGGCCTCTTCTGCCTCCTATTTTACAGTTAGAGCACTTGGTCATCTGCATTGGGAAGGCCGTGCTCATTAGGTTTGACCTTCTCTGCCTGATGTGTTTTTGTCATGAATATTGGTATACCTCACTTTATTCGAATGCGGAGGCACTTTTGCTCAGTGAGATGGTTGGAATTTATTTTGAGAGTATCTCCATTATTAAATGATACAGAATGAAGGTAATTGCAGAAGTTAATACTTGATATTATATATCTAAATATATAAAAAYATAACTCATGTTTTCTTCTTAAAACAGGATTGAGCAGCTAGTAAGTGAACATGAACAGGAGGTGGCAGCACTAACTGAAAAAGCTAACAGTGCGCACAGCCATGCAAATAGTATCCAAAGCCAGATGGAGATCATTCAGTATGTTTCTTCATAGAAAATGTTAAGAAAGTATAAAACATGTTAAGAGTAACCTTAAATTGAGAGGAAGTTTACACTGCTAGTATATTCTGCCCCTATTGGTTTGTTAGGGTCTTTGTTTAGGAGTTAAGTAGTTCTTAGATAAACTGTGAATTGGAGTACAGAAACGAACAAAAAAACTATGCTAAATTAGTGAGATGGAAAACATTCATCCTTTAAGCAAACTMTGAGAATCAGGCTTATGAACTAGTTCTTTTTGCCTCCTGTAGTTAAGCAGAGTAAGTSGAGTCAGTTGAGGTTCAGACCTGTTTTGAGCCCTTGACATTATTTTGTTGGGGCATCTCCATTGTGAGCAGTTTCTGCAGTGCGTGCAGCCATCCTCCATTCAGGAGGCAGCACTTGAAGGATCATATCAGCACAAAGCTTGAAATGCTCCTTCTGAAAGAGTTAAAATAGGAAATCATTTCAAAGCCACTTGTCTTGCTGCTTAACCTTTTTCTTTTTTGTGTGTGTGTATAAAAGAATATTTTACTGTTGTGCAGGGTATCCTGCTGGAGCATACTCGAAGAAATATTTGGAACTGTGATTTTTCATACAAAGTCACTCTGTATTTTGAAAAAAACTAAGAGGAATGCTAAGATTGGTTTTTGTCAAAACACATTTTTTCAGCACATAAATACATTTATCCATTTTAGCAATTTTGATGAAAACTACGTGCTAACTTTTAGCTGCCTTACAAAGTTGCTTTTGAATTCCTCAAGCAGAACTGCAACAATGAGTTTAAGTTCTTAATCATAACTTGAGGGCTGTGGTTGTGGGTGCTATGAGGGTCCCCATATTGTARGGTGATCTTTGCCTTGTAAGTGTTTCACATAATCAGATACAAGAAATATTTCCAGCAATATAAGCAGAAAAAYGGACCAGAATGGGTAAAGAATTTTGCTTTTTGCATACATATACAAATAGTAATGAATGGTAATTATAAAGGGTGAATTCAATGTGGGGMAATGTGACTATTTTGGTACTGCTGACATAGCTGATAACTGAGTGTGAATAAAACAGCATAGTAATTCTTAGCAGCCAATTAAAGTCTTGGAAATGGCTGATTCATTTGCCAGTTAAAAGACAAGATTGTGTTGAAATATTACAAATGTAAGATGGGATTTGGAGATCAATATGTATTATTTCTGGCATGTATAGGTGAGACTGAATCACTGATAGCAAGAYGCTACTCATTTCTGTTTGCACAGTAGCTGAGGTGCATTTGAAACCAGCTTTATTGACTTGATAAATGAGTCATCAGCACTAAGGCTATGTAGGTTTATGTGRGAACTCTGACCAAGTCTGTTCAATAAAAGGATATTTTTATCACATTTATAAAAACATTCTTCAGTGTTAGTCTAAGAAGAACCAGAAATATTTCAAATTTCTATTTCTCACGTGTTTTTAATATTTTAATTGAAATTATTTCTAAGGGAACAGACAAGAAGCCGAAATTCAATGCATGCACATCAAGTTAGTCAGCTGGAATCCACTGTTTCTCAGCTGCGTTCTGAATTACGCGAAGCTAAGAGGACGTACGAGCACAAGGTGCGTACGGATAATTGTGTTAGGATTAGCACTAGCTAAACTGGGTGTGTGCATGTAAAGTATTCTGGATAGATGAGGAAACGCTTTGGTATGGCTTCACTTCAGAAAAATGAGGTGGATTGAAAGGTAAGCTGTATTATCCCAAACTCGATAAAATTGTGTTCCTAAGAATAAAGTTCCTCTAGTGKGAAATGGTTCTACAGTGTGCATTGAATGCCTGTTATAATGCAGGCAAATTTGTCTTTGGGGAACACATTAAAAGACAGWTTCTGTATTATCAGTGTCACGTAGTAGACATAGTTCTACTCAGCCACTGAAGAATATATGGACAAAAAGCTGTCAGGTGATAAAAAGAGCTTCATTTAAATTGTAGTGGCAAGAACAAGTCCCTGATAACTGTGTTCTTAAGTGCAAAGCCGTGAGAGCATAGAGCTTAGAGAAGTTTTGGAGAYGCTTTCAAATACCCGGAGATGCACTACTGTTTTCACTTTGTTAAAACCTAATGTGTTGAAATCCATAGTGTATTTTTAATAGTTGGATACAATAACAGACAGAGCAGACAGGCTGGTGAGGATCTGTATACTTGTTTTTTTTTTACTATTCTATTAGAAAGCACTCTGAAATTACTTTTTTCTGCCATAGTCCGCCATGAAGATGAAGATATTTTTTCTGGGTAATATGGCATGGAATTTCTGCAGTGAGATGGAGGGAACTTGATACAGTCCCATCAGAGAATCTTTGGCTTTATTGGGAATTTATTATTATAAATATATTTATTTTGATTCCATGGAAACAGCAAGACAATTGCAAGATTGATTTCAGAATACTTAACTTCTTCAAAGCAAAACAACCTTGTTGAGGCCTCTCCTAGAAGATGGGAAATCTGCTCAGATAGAAATTATTACCAGTTCTGGTAGTTGAGCTGACTTGTGCGTAATGYTTAACGGATCCAAATACAGTTTAGATGGGGAAGCATAAGCATTTAGGAAACCCTCTACTTGCTGTTGGAAAGTTCAGGCCATGATCTGATGACATGGACAGAGCTGATGTTTTCCAATCTAAAAACATTTGGGAATGGAGTGGCAGGGATGAGAGAGACAAATTGTGTTCATTCTTGAACAGCATTGCTTTTTTTCACATCCAAATACTTTTCACATCCAAATACCTTTACCAATTTCATTGATTCACACATATCCAAAAAGCAAAATATTTATTTCCACTATCAATATCTGCTATATTTCATTCTCAGGCAAATGTTGTGCTTCTCATGTTGATCTGTTTACCTAATGTCTTTGACATGAGATGGGCAGTCCATTGCATAAGAAGAGATTACATAGGTCATTTTAAATGTAGTGTATATTTCTGACATGTCTACCTTTTCACAATGTTTAGCACGTGACACATGGAAAATTGACAGATACAGAATTAAAGGTTTTATTTGACAGTATACTAGCTCCAAGAAAGCTTGGTTTCATGTGCCTATAAAAATATATTAATTGGTCCATTGATATAGTTTTTTCCAAGTAGGAGGTACAGTATACTGAATTACTGTGCTAAATTTGAGTAAGAGATAAGTTCACAGGTGACAAATTTCATGTAGGGCTACTCTGAGATGATTACCTAGGAGGAGGGGAGAGAATGTACAGGAAGCTTTTGCAATTGGATTTCTATTACAACAGGGGTTTCTCCACAGCTGTTYTGGTTGGAAACATAAAGTTACCAACTTTATTACAAAGTAAAAGTTTCAGGCGAATTGGTGAAAATTAAAAGTCACTGTCAGCTGTGGATATCAAATACTTCAGCAGTCAGGAAATCTGGTATTTAATTGTCAATGTAAATATTGAATGCTTATTTACAGTTCTGTTTGGTTAGGCAGTAGCAGTATGTTTCTCTTTTCTTAGAAAAGAATGTAAACAGGCCTACCATCTCATACATGTCTCCTAAAATGYCTCTGGCACAAGTTGCAGAGGAGGAAAAGGGAAAAAAAGAGATTTACTACTTCTGCCCCATGCCAAAGAAACTMTCCTGAAGAAGTAGAAATGAAATGTACATGTTTTGGTGCTAACTTGAACAGATTGCAGATCTTAAAATGATTATTAGGCTAGTACTAGAAGAGCAGGTTATTTAGTGTGTTTTTTCTTAAGAGCTCCATATAAGTTGCAGCTTGCTTATACAAGATGAGGAATTTTAGATGATGTTTAGGTCAGAGTAGAATCCTACTTATACTCGTGGACCTGAGTTCATTCTGCAAAGAAACTCAGTTTAATCACTGCAATAAGAAAACCTAATTTTCACTATCTATGGAASAGCTAGAAATGGTCTAGAAGAAGACCTATTGTTCATGTAGAGCAAGTGAGAATAATTGCCTTGAAGTTGAGTTGCTTTTTGTGCTTTTATTTTAGGTAGAAGAYCTTGAAAAGCAGTTGCACCTAGCTCGTTCTGAGATGGCAGAGGCTCAGACACAACGAGATCAATATAGCCAAGAATCTGGAAATCTGGATGACCAGCTTCATCAGCTGTTGGTAAGAAGAAATGACAATATTTAAAGAAATTGTGCATTGCTTGTTTTAGGAATAGGACAGCCGAGTTAGAATTATGTTTGAGACTCACCTTTTGTTATAACTTTGAATTACTTGTTAGGAAGGTATTCCCAAGAACCTTTCTACTCACTAGAAAAGGCAAATGATCACAATAAGCTTTTTGGTCAGAGGTTCAAAACACTTGAAAGTAWGCAAATCATATTGATTATTTCAGACACCTTTAATCCCACAGTGTAGACCGCCTTAAGCAAACTTAGTCCTTTTATACCTATTTTGTWAGACATATCAAGATGTCCTTAGCCGTTTTAAGCACTGACAAATTATGTTATTATCTTATTATGTTATGTTTAWTAAATGTGCAGTAGTAAAATTTTGTCAAGTTCAGTTGGTTTTGTCACTGCTAGCTCCATGCATTAAAGTCACCCTTCCTATCCTTTASTAAAGATTATGCTTTAAGGACTGAATTTTGGTAGATTAGTTTGTGTGGTTCATTAGGTCCGTTTACTTGGTTAGTATCATGGTGTTCTGAAAGAGAGGCTGAGATTATTTCATTCACCATGGTATGCTTATAGTAAGAAATATCTCAAGTCAGTCTTTTCCTATAGATTTCCTATAGAGCTACACATAGCTGAAGGGAAGCATAGACTCTGAATAATGGTTGTCAGATTGAAAGCTATGAATTGCAATTTTAGATTGCAWTTATTTCTAGGCCTTCACTTAGTATTTTTGTTACCTGAGCTTTTTAGTTTGTTCTTCAGTCAGCTCTAATCATGTATGTATAGTCTAAACTRTATTTTGATATAACATCAAAAGTTATTTATAGCAGAAATATCTATTCAGAGTTCWATTCAATTCATTTTTTTAAATTAGAAACTCTGAAATATGCATGTCAGTTTCTTAACTTGATTTACCTTTCTAATTATAAATTATAATTTTAATCATGTACTATTGTTATGATCTTTGAGACAGATAAGATCTAAGGTCTGGAAAACTTGTCACAAATTATTATGTGAAATCAAACAAGAAAGGAATAATTCTTAATAGTGCTAAATGAGGAATATTTATCTGAGAAGCTTTCCATGGCATAGTTATAGTGGGTTTTTTCCTTTAAAGTTGGCACAATATCATCCCTTTTTATTTTGCTGCTTATACTGATTTGGRCAATGTAGATGACATCAAAGACTTCCGTGTGGCTATGCTATTTGCTTCAGTATAATTATAGTAGCAGTATTTAAAGCACAAAGTTGAAAGCTGCTGCTTTGTTGTAAGGATGTAAGTGTAGGAGGTGTAAAACAAGCTCAGTCAATACTTCTGTCTTGTTATGTTTAAATCCATGCAATAATTCCTGTTCAGATATGCAACTGTGTAATTGAATGTTGCTAGTATTAAGKAAAAGAACAAAATATATATGACTAAGAGTGAGATCACTGTAATTTCTCGTAGTCTGAACTGCATAAAAAAGAGATAGAACTAAATCTAGAAAAAGAGCAGAACAAGAGATTTTGGGATCGGGACAGAGACAGCAGCATCACTATTGACCATCTAAAGAGAGAACTGGACACCAAGAACATGGAATTGAAGCACGTGGAAAACACAGTGAAGGCRATGAGGATTGAATGTCAGGAACAAATGGAGTGCCAGGTTGGTGAGCTACTGCATGTCKGTGTCCTGGAGAGGAAGTGGCATGAGAGGGACTGTAGCTCAGAGCTGCTACAACTCAGGTTTTGGTGACTGCGCTTTTGGAGCTCAAGTGTCAAAGTTTTCCAATCAAATATTTGAACGCATGACAGTCATATTGTGCATCTTTTCTCTGGTAATCTATGTATTCTTGCCTTGTTCCATGTTGACTGTTGTTATAGTAGAAGCATGATTTTTCTATGTATAATCAGTGGCATAAGATTCATGAGAAAATGAATACTTGATATATGATTTTGTTTTTTATAAAAGTTTTGTGCTGCCAGAAGTAGCAGAAGTGTTCCAGGCATTATTTCCAGTAGTGAGCACTTCTGTAAGAATGAGTAAACTCAAGACCTTCATTCTTTCTTGCCCGGCTTGATGCGGTGCTTAGTAAGACTATCATGGTATGCATATTTATAACCCAGATTCTAAGCTAAAGGCAATTCTTGACTAGGAAGAACTACTACTGACAAAATAGACGCCTAGACACCAAACCACATTTCAAACACTGAGGTTTCTGCAGGATTTCAGCTGTTCAAAGATAAGCTATGTTTAAGTAACCACTGGCAGTTCTACTAGCTCCTTGGCATTCTGAGGAAAAATCAAGTAAACCACTGGCCTTGTGCTGCTTTGCATCTTCTACAGTTCTCCAAGCCATTATTTTTACCTTCAGTCCTCCTCCTATGTTCATTCTTTCCTACTGCTTCCAGTCTGTGCTGTTAGCAAATCCTGACAACACAACACTCATAAATGGTGATGCTCCATGTGCATTTTTTGGCCTCAGTAATAAAATCATTGCTAATTTGAAAAATCTGTGTATGGGATTAATTTATGATGCAGTCAGAGTTTTAATAAAGATTTTTACCCCAAACTCCTTTAAAAGCTGTACAGTGCAAACATGTTTTTTCACGTTACTCTAATTTTTGATTTTCTATTTTCAATTCATATATATTTTGCAACAAAGAGTTAAATAAGCAGGGAGAGGAGGGAGGAAACAAAAAGAACCATTTGGTCATTTTACACGTGCCTATGCCAGAATAATTTTCTTGTGAGACTGTTAAATATTTAAGACCAAGAAGAGAAAATAGGGAGGACAAAGGAAATTCTGAAAATAGAAATAAACTTTTTTAGTTAATATTTCATTGCTTTTGTTTAGATGGCTGCCATTAAGGAAAAAAATGAAAGCATTGAAAGAATCTCTTCCCTGACTGTCCAACTGGACTCAACCAAAGAGATGCTCCGTAAAGTTAGGGAAGATCTTAAAGTCAAGCAGATGAATTTGGAGGTGGCTGAGAGAACAGTATCAAATCTGACAACTTGCCTGCAGGAGAAAGAGAGTGCCATTGATGTTACCAATAAGGAAATCAAGAAGCTACGTGCCCAAGTTAGCAGTAGGACGCAGGAGCTTCAGCAGCTGAAGAATGAAGGAGACCGTTTGCAGAGCGTGCAGTCTGAGTGTGACACGCTGAGACTGCAGGTGGTAGAAAAAGAAAGGATTATTGGGATCTTGCAAAAGCAAATTGATAATATGACCCAGATGGTGGGCCAGCACAGTCGAGCTGCTGGAGCGATGGAAGTGGAGAAGTCCCAGCTTATTAAAGAAATCAATGAATGGAAGATGGAAGCACAAGAAATTAAGGTCTGGAAATACTGTTGTATTAATGTTACTTGAAGGCTGTTCTATTGTTTAAGTTCATATACCAGCGCTGTCTGGTTTTCAAGCAGCTCAGACAATGTATCTTGAATGCTAATCATGTGAAAAGAATTGATAGAACGATACTGGTCCATGAACTATCCAAAAAAGGTGATAATGATTCTCAAATTGTATCTGGCAAGGTAAAATGGGCTCTAAAGCCAGTTCAGATTCCATTATACCCTTTTTGTCTGGATTAACAAATAAGTAATTTCTGTTCTACTCTTCTTGCTTATTCCAAGTTATTCTCTGACACAAGACTTAAAATAATGTCTGCACATTTTCATTGCAATATTTTGTTTTTTTACATACATCCACTTCTTCCTTGCATAAATAGATTGTAAAGGAGGAAAAAGAAGCCAGAATACTTGATTTGGAGGCCAGGCTGAGCGAGCTGGAATTGGAAAAGGTTAAGCTGGTGAACACATGCACTGAAAGGCTCCACACAGTTAAGGATATGAAACTGGAAAAAGAGCAGCTAATGAAGGAGCTGAAAGCCAGTCGTGGTGAGCTAGCTGGCCTTACAGGTAGGTAGCCTCAGCTCAGCTTAAGTCAGCTGCTAAATGAGACTGATGTTAAAAATAGAAGAGCAGCCTGCTTGCTGAATCCAAATATGGCTGCTGGTACTTTAGAAGGTTTCCTAACAGTGTGTGATGGTCAGGCTGCTTTGGAGAGCTAAGTCATGACTTGGGATTTGGGCACAGAGTGACAGAGGTGTAATCTTTATGGCAGGCTGTCTCCATCCTGCACCAAAATAGTGATTGCTTGAATGACTTTGTCTAGGGCCCAGAGAAGCATGTTTAATAAATCAAACAATGTAAACTTGACTGCTTTACATAAGGCTTTTCAGAGGACACTAGCAGATCCTTAACTATCCTCAAATTACAGAGGAATGTGACTTCTGATGTGTTTGCATTTTATCATTGTTTAAATGCTTATGCCTTAGCTAGAGCTGCTACTTTCACAATTAACACATGACAGATGCAAGTGGAGCAAATAAATAGTAAAAAAAAAAAAAAAAAAAAACCCTCAAGGTTAAATATGAGGGCCCCTACCTGAGTAAGCTCACCAAAACTCTCATGGAGTTTGTTATAGCTGCAATGCATTCATGATACTGTTTGTGTCCTTTGTTATCTAAGCAATCCCCTGCTTGGATAAAGTAGTCCCTGGGGACATCTGCTTCAAAATCATGCTAAATACACAGTAACACTTGGAAGCTTATTGAGTTTTATAAAAAGTAAGTAAGTTTATGTTGAAGTGGGACCCAGGACCTTGACCCCAGCCTTGACCCTGACCTCGATGTCCAGGGACCTTGGTTCCTGGCTGTGGGACCTTGACCCTGGACTTGACCCTTAGGTTTTTATGGTACTAATCAGCCGTGAGGTTCAAGAAGGCTTATCGCAATAAATGGCATGGAGCAATGAAGGCCAAGCTGTTGGTACAGTTGGAGCACAGTGGTCTGTGTAATGAGGACAAAATGATGCCCTCATTAGTAACTTTACCTTTCACAAAGTTATAGCAGTGGGGAGTCAGAAATCAACCTTTTTCTCACCTTGTTCAAGTATTGCTTTGGTCAGCAATTAAAGAACACATCTTTTTTAAATGAAACAGAAGCCTCTGCTGATGTGCAAAACACTGTGCTATGGCTTCCATATCTGTTAGCAATGGTTGTTACTTGCTTTAGGTCTTAGCTATTTGCATATCTAATATTCCCTTAAAAGAAGTTGGGAACACATCAGGAATTTTTGTCTACAAGACTGATAACCTTTACCCACTGTGATTTCTGTCTTATGCTCAGAGGAATATGAAGATTTAAAGAGAAACTTCCGAGGTAAAACTGAAGAGATGGAGAATAATGCTAAGAAATTGAAAATGCAGTTGAAATCAGCCAAAGCTGAGCTAGATCAGACCAGAGCTGCTCTAAAGACTATGGAAGGATCTGATGGCCATGGTAATTAAGGTGGGATCTTCCCACCTTTTTGTCTTTTTCCGCAAGAGGTTTTTTATAAGTATTGATAAAATTTATGAGTTAGTTATCTCAAGGGTATTCCAAATGTTCTAAAAATTCTGTGCGATAGAATGAAGTTGGATATACATACATTTTACCACTTACTACATACTCTAAAACTTAGACGATGAGCTGCATTTTCTGATTAGATCTTTAAAGACTCCAAGGGACTTTTTCTTTGTCTTGCGTGTATTATGGGCCTGGTACCACCACCTTTAGAGAAGTTCTGCTCAGCCTAGTCAGTGGTTTGCTGGTGTGGATGACAATAGGGTGCTGCTTCAGCATATCAACAATACATCTTAGAGTAATGTTGGTAACTGGTTTCCAGAGTCCTTTACGAGAGCTCAGAATGCCTAACTCATCTTTCTTATTCAGAATTAACAGTTGCAAATCTTGTTGTTTTACAGCTATGAAAATTGCAATGGGAATGCAGAAGCAAATCACAGCCAAGAGAGGACAGATAGATGCATTACAGAGCAAGATTAAATTCTTGGAAGAGGCAATGACAAATGCAGCTAAGGTCCCAAGAGCTCCAAGTAGAAGTATTTAACCGTATTAAGAGAAACTGGTCTTTGGAGAGATGTAGGATCATGATGAGTCCAAGGAGTACTAAAGGGAGTATTATTTGATGTAAAGGGCACCTTCCTTTTCCTTCCTGTTAGCAAGTGATAGATCAAGGAATGTGTCCATGGTTTAAGCTAGACTCTCACAGACTAAGTTCTGAAAATTAGTTTCTCTGAAAAAACAGTGCAACTATCGGTGAGATTTGGGCTCGTGATCTCAGATCTTTTAAAAAGGTAGACTTGAGACAATGTGTGAATTTCTCATCCCTCATATAGATGAGGCTTGTTGAAATTTTAGGAAATTATGATTTTTTGGATATAGTTCCTGTAGATTCTGGTCTTTATCTTGGCAAGGATTCCTAAGCCACACTGTCTCAAAATAATCATTTTCCAGCTACATAGCTAGAAAACATTATATTGTAAAGCTGGAAACCCCATCCAGGGATGTTTAGGGTTCATACTTCCCAGTGTCAACTATTTTTTTTTTTTTAATTTAGCAACTAATACGTATGAGCTATGCAGTACAACAGCTTGGTTCCGTGGTTTCTGTAAGCATTGTTGTCTGTGTGGAAATACAATCAGCTGGTTGCAAGGGAAGACTGTTTTGCAGATTGTTCTGTCATGGTTCCTACTTTCAACCTCTGCAGTTCTGGTGCTGAACTCTGTGTGTTGAGGTCTGTCCATCATATTCTGTGATGGAAAGGTTTTTTTATCTGTTTGCGCTTACCTGTTCTCTGGCTTCTGGCACTTGCATGGGTTTGGACTGATGCTTGATGGCTATGGTTAACTTTTTGCATATACAATGGACCTCTTCATATCTTTACAGTAGTAGTTGGACTCTTAGAAAATTCTTCAAGCCCTAAATGCGAGGAGAGGAGAAGAGAAAAAATAATAATGTACTTATTAAAGTGTAATGGGGAACTTTGACCAGGTGGTATACTCCTGCACTTAACATTTCAGTTTGAAAAAGGGTCTAAAAGTCCAACTACATCATTTTTTTGTAAGAACTTATCTTCTTGCTGAGGAGAAAAAAAATCCTTGTTTTGCTGTAAAGTATAATAGCTAAGCTTCTGGAATGATTCATTCAAAATTTTGAAAAATGGAACATCACAGGAAAAAATGTGTAACATGGGCAGTTACAAATTTTAGTCTCACACTGTTCTTCCTCTCCTTAACCTCAGGAAAAGCATTATCTCAAAGAAGAAAATAATAAACTAAGCCACGAATTGAGCTATATTGTCACAGAAAATACCAAGATGGCTGGGGAACTGGAGATCCTTAGGTCGCAAGACAAACGTCTGAAAGAAAAAATATCCAGGATGGAGACAGCCCTTGATAAGGTAGTTTTGGGTTCGGTAAGAGAGCAGGGAGCTTTACCATGGTCTCCTAAGAAGAGAAGTCTGACCTCTTATCCAGGTTGTATTTGCTATGCTCTGCTAATGTGTATTGCAAGCTGCACACCTGAGGACAAATCTGTGAGTCCTATAAGGATTTTTACGGTAAAATACTTCTACTATATTGGTAAGAATTCTTGGTTTACCCCTTACGAGCTAAGGAAAATAGAAATCTGGGTAAAATAGAAGTATGGTATATTTGCAAAAAGCTGCTGCTTTTAACCATACACACACACTGCCCGAGTGAGCTGACACTTGCATCAGTGGGACTCATAAAGAAGCACAGAAAGTCATGTTTTGTTTTTAACTCTGAAGATTAAGTTTTTTTAAACTAATAAAAGCAGTCTGATTCCCTAAGAGCATGCTTTTTGTGTGCAGTTTATTTCTTTTGCTTAGAGGTTTCCTCAATTTTAATTGATATGAAAAATACTTATGTTGTTTTAAGTTGCCACATCTAGTTAAGGTATACTGTTTGGAAGAATAGAATAGGATTTGAAAATGAAGTGGACATTGAGATACATCAGGAAAGTTATTAAATATGTACTTTAAAACACTGAGTAGGCTTTAGTTTTAATAAAACATTTCAATTGTCTAATCCTGAAAATGTTCAGTAAGTTTAGGACAGGATTAACACCTTTCTTGGTGTTGTAGTGTTAAGGAGATGCCAATTGCTCCTGGGATCATATAACAGGTCTGCCCATGTAACCCTATCGAGAAAGGCATCTGACCATCTTAGGTTTCTATAAAACACTTTCCCTACTGCTAGAAATAGGTTAAAAAGATATATATAATGCATGTGTGCACTTTTTTCCTGTGTCAGATGAAGAACACAAGAGAAAGTCATTTACAAAAATATATATATATATATGTAAAAGAGTAAATTTTAGGAAACTTAATTTAGTATCTCCTCACTTACAGGCATCCATGCAGTTTTCAGAGTGCCAGTGCATAATCCAGTGCCAGGAACAAGAAGCAATGCGCTTCAGGTTGCAGCATGCTTTAGATGTGAAGGTAAGTACTTTATTGATAAGACTGTGAAGAGATCTGATCCAACACGTCTAACTATCTGAGGGGAGAATGTAGGGAGGATGGGACCAAACTCTTCTCAGTGCCAACCAGTGAGAGGACAAAGGGTAATAGGTACAGACTGAAACACAGGCAGTTCCATCTGGGTGTAAGGAAGAACTTGTCCGTGAGGGTGACAGAGCCGTGGAACAGGCTGCCCAGGGAGACTGTGGATTCTCCTTCTCTGGAGGTCTTCAAACTTGCCTGGTTGCCACCCTATGTCCCGTGTTCCAGGCGTCCCTGCTGGAGCAGAGGGGTTGGACTAGATCTCTAGAGGTTCCTTCCAATCTCAACCGCTCTGTGATTCTACGTATAGATCGAAAGTAGGTGCATTAACTTTGTGTCTGTATTTCAGGACTAAGCCCATTTATTTCAAGGTGCTTTCAAAAGTTTGCATTAGGAAACTTGTATTAATGTGGAGTAGTTCTTTACTGCACGATGTAATGTTCATGATGAGAATTACTCTGAAGTGCTATATACTGGAAGGACATCAAAAAAGTAAACAATTCTAGGAATATTGACTTCAAAATAAGTGTAGAGGCAAGGTCTATAGGGATGGCTGGTGCCCTTTATTAGATCCAATTTAGTTATTGGAATGTGCTAAACTTTGGGGAATGCCTATCCTGCTCCAGGTTTGAAACAGAAGCAACAGCTTTTGAGCTATATGCAGACTGAGAACGATGGAATTGGGTCTGTCTTGATGATGTCAAATAGTTTGGTATTTAATGAAAAAATACGTTTTTAAGAAGCATACTAAGATGTTAGCAGGGGTAAAGCAAATATGATTGGTAGGTACCTTGGAGGGGCAAAACTTTTAGTTTTAATTGGGAAATGAAATATTATCTTCCAAATACAGACTTAAGTAAAGGATGCAAAGGGAATTTCATATGAACTGCGACAAAGGTGGAGAATCTCACACTGATGAAAACAGCTGTCACCTCACTGGGAAAAGTGCACATAAGAAACATGGCACAGTTCAGTTTTGTAATGATGGTGAGACTTTCTCTGCTTGCATGGATCCAGAGGATACAATGAGTGCCTGAAAATAAATAAAACAATCATTATTGCCTCCACTTGGATCCCAAAAGGACTTGAAGGGGTTATGTCTGAGGATGCGTAGTAAATATTAGAGAGTGTTTTGAGAATTGAATGCTGGATATTATAGCATGAAACGAAGAGAGGCCCTATTCCAGAGGCCTTGCTCTCCGCATGCCATTTCCGTGCCTGGCCTGTGACTCGTGTTCTTTGCCAGGAGCTGCAGGGCCCGGGCTTCTCCTCCGCCTCGGCCCCAGGCCGGCAGCGCGCGGCGCTGGCGCTGCCCCAGCAGCACAACGCGAGCGGGCCGCCCTGCCTGCCCGCTGCCAGCTGCCTTCCTCACGTGAGTACCTGCCAACCCGTGCTCACCCGCAACGGGCCTCTGCCAAACGGGACAAATGCACGGCGTTTCTAAAGGGGAGAGCAGGTGGCAAGATTCCTACCCCTAAAGATTAGATCTTTCCCTGTATTTCTCTTATGTTATAGACTCATTGCTTCTCGTTTTTTGTTTCTGCTAGTGGTTCACTTAGTGTAAATGACTTCGCTTTGGTGGTGGCAAAAATAGACCTCTACATAGCATCTCATTAACTTCACTGCGTTCGTACATCTAGTTCACCAGTAATAGCTTTGCTTATTCAATGTTTGAGTTCTTAAAGTTCACTTGGACAGATTAAGACCATTTTTTTCCTAATGTTACACGTGTCACCTTCCTTTTTGTTTTTGTGCACCTGCATTTAGACTTAGGTTAGGTGCTAGTGCTGTTCTGACTGTTCATCATAGAAAGCATCATCTTGAATCTCTCTTGCTAAAATACATTTTTTTTGCTGTGTGGATTTTATAAAAGTTAACCTTGTCTTATCTCCACTAACTTTCCACTAAAATGACCAGAAAATTACTAGTTTCCAAGTTTTAGGTCAACTAGGGGGAATATAACTGCTTTGAGTGAATATATATATACATATATGAACTGAAAAATAGATTGCTGTTATCAAAGTACTTTATAACAGAAGGATTTTATTTCAGTTCACACCCAAATCAGGCATTTTGAAGGAGGAACCACTTCGAGATTTAAAGAAGATTCTTCAGGAATTAAGCTCAGACAGTGAGATCCCCGCTGTGGCTCTTACCAAGAATGACAGTGACGGGGCAAGAACATCACCTTCAGCGACCGTGAGGAGCACCGTGTAAGACTAATTCGGTTGTGTGCTGTGTACTTGCATTGCCATCTGGAACTAATGTCTGGCCATTGTGCACTTGACAAGCAGTAAAAGGAGTTTTTCTGTCAGAAAAATGGGTTAAGGAATAAAGTTGAGGTATCCGAAGGGTTTTTCAAATTCTCTTGCTTGCCTGATTCATCAGATGCTTTAGGTGGTATGGAAATAGGAAGTGACTACATCATCTGCCTTCATTGTTTTTGTTTGGGAATTTATTTGTTTTTAATTTTTAACTCCTTGCTTTTTTTGTGTGTTATTTAAATATCCCTTTTCTTATTTTGGAAGCAGATAAATGTTTCTGATCATATAAATGATAATGCCAATGGCAGGAGTTTGAAAAATCAGTACAGCACAAATTCTGTTTTTTTTTCCAGCTCAGTAAATAAGGACCCTTTATAACAGGAAAATTTAATTCAAGGACTTTCAGTAGGATTCTTGTATTACAAACATGACTTTTCTCTTGTATTATATACTAGTGAGACTATATCACTCTCAGATTGCTAATACTGATGTTTGTTTTTTTGTTGTTCTCTTTTCCTTTTATGGTTTTCTTTTTTTTGCTTATTCATAGTGACTCAAAGATCTGTTATCAACATGCACATTTTTAAGAACTAAAGAGTAAAAGCTTCTATTTTAGCCCTCTAAAGGACTTAAGAAACCTATCTGTTTATCCCAGCTTTGAAGTAATAAATATGCTACCTCTTTCTGTAAACTTCGCCTCTCTTTCATAGAATCCTTGATTCTATGATGTCAACAGTGCTCATTTGCCAGCATTTCTGTTGCTTCCTAGATCTATATTCCTAGATATATTCCAAAACTTCCAGGTTTGGACTGGAATAAAGCAGGGTTTAGGAGAAAATTTTTTTTTCTGGTGTTTTCTCTCCTCCAGTAGTCTTCTCATTCAAAATTTAAGCAACGCTGAGAGAATCCTACACCTAAATATCACTCAAAATATCAAGTTATCTGTTAAAGCGTATGGCTTTCTAAATACTGTTGACTGTGCTGATTCTGATGTCTTTTTGTATACACGGAGATGGTGCAAGTAGAGAATGTGCTACTACCTTCAGTCCATGTTAAGATCCTTGCAAAAGGTGAGAAATTTCCACCTTTCACTGTGGATACAGCAAAAGGACCCTGATAATATTTTGAGAAACCAAGGCAGATGCTTAGCAAAATGGATTTTAAAAAATGTAGAATACACTAATGATTTTGCAAAAAGCTAGGAATTCCTTGCTGATCAAAATTCTGAGGGAATAAGTCAAGTAGTATAAAATTAATTGACCAGACTTGTGGTCCTTAATATCCTAATATTCCATTTCTGTGTGCCAGTGACTCAGTGTCTAGTGACTGAGAAGGTCACATGTAAAAGGTGTTCTTTTCGCAGAAGAGTACCTTCACATTTTTCTGTAATGAAAAATTTGACAATGACATCCCTAGGATGTTACTGAAAGCCCTAGAAATTAATATATTTCCTTTTAAATAGATTTTGAAAATAATTGAGTAGAGTTCAATTGAACAGAAATACGTGGTGTATGGAGAGCTAGAAAAAAAAATTGCTTCTAGCTAGCTGAAGCAGAGCTGAGACTTCCTTGACCGTCTCCCATGAAAACTGAAATTAAGATGGTTTGGGTTCTTGTTGTAGCTATTCCCAATGCCTCAGTTAAGAATTGTGGTGCTTTGAAAGGTGAGTAGAGCATTTTTGCAAATGCTTAAAAAAGAAAATAATCATCTAAAAATATAAAATATAGGGGTTGTCTTGGCAAGGCTTTTGTTGTGATTTTGACAGCAATATGTCTTTCCACGCAGAGAAACGCCAGTTAGAGACTCAGGCACAGTAAGCAGCATGGAGCAGGATACCGTCAGCTGGTGAGAAGTGTTTTCAGTTAGCTGAATTACCTGCTTTTCAACCTGATATAAGGTTGAAAGGTTTAAGGTACTGATTTAAGAAGCAGTTTCTAAGGCACTTCTAAAAATAATTAGTCCTGAGCTTTCTCATAAATTATTCATTATGCTAAAAGCTTCCTGGGAATTACAGACTAAGCTGTGAATTTATTTGATCCCTTTGGGCAAGAGCTCTGGAACTTATTTCCAGTGTTTAATATACATGTATGAGATCTGTGGATTGCATATTAAAGCTTCACTGTGCAAGTTAGTGCAAAGTTAGTGCAAAAACCGAGTATGATGCTTCAAAAGTGAGTTTTGATTCTTTTGGCTTGCAGGGATCCTTTACCTTTGTGTACAGCAGATCTTCAGTCCCAGGATGTTTCGCTGCCTTTCACATCCACGGGTAAGTTTGCACTGAATGCATTGTTTAGATGTGGAACTGGAACGTTATGGAATAGTAGAAAAAGAAATGTGGTCCAAATACTATACTTCCTATTATCATTATAATTATATAGTTATAATTACGTAGTTATAATTATATTATAATGGGAATTATATTTTACTATAATTATTTTTATAATTATAATAAGTCCTAAGTCACTTATTGAAATAGCTCAATAGCAGAAACTAGTTTACAAATTGCCTGTTGCAATTGGTGTAAAAATGTAACATTTGGAGGGTGCAACGAGGGGCACCCAACTTTGTACGCATTGCACAGCTAAGATGAACACAGGTAATGGTACACGTGTTTGGGAACGTGCTCATGGGGCTTGATCATTTCCCAGGTGGAGCATCCTTCTTTTTAGCAGCTCCTCGTTACACATCCTCCCCCAAGAAGGCCCTTGGGGAAGAGAGGGGCCGACCAAGGTCCCCAGTGCACTCGCTGCTGACTGCTCCGACGCTCGCCCTTGACGATGCTCCTAGCACTTCATCGGCTGTGCAGAAGGGAGGCTCTCCAGAAGCTACAGCCACAGGCACCCGGATACGTAAGTGTGGTCCTATTTCCAGTCCAAAGAGCTCCTGTGCAATACATGATTGTGGCACTACCTTGAATTTTCATGTATGTTTATAATGTGTAGCTAACATAATCCATGTTGCTGAAGATTCATGTGGCTTGCCAGTGAACCAGCCTTTCAGGCTTGCTTTATTACAAGAAGTTGCAAAAGGCCTTCAAAATGGTTAGGTACAGTAGGTGAGAGAGCAACCTCTCAGGCAATACTGACTTACCAAATAGCCTTTAAAAAAAAAAAAAATCTCTTGTTCTAACTTGGCACAAAAAAAAAACCAGAAAATGGTTTCTTTCAGAGGGTGTGTAAGCACTGCAGGTAGCAGTGTAACTGAGAAGTTTCCCACTGAGCTCTAAGCCAGTTCTGGCACAAACAACTGTCTAACTGTGGCTCCAAAGAATATAAAAAAAGGCAGTTATTTCCTGCTGCTGTGGTGGGATTCTTTGGTAGTTTCAATCTAAAATCATCATGCATGTTGTTGTGCTGTTATCACAGCAATACAGGCATTTTTCCAATCACTTTATTAGTTATGTCTTAGAGGGATCGGGTTCTGCTCTTTGTGCTTTATGCAGAAGAATGCCTAAGCTGGCCTGAGCAGCCGTCCTGGCTAGAACAGTCACATTATTGCTGAATAACCTTTGCTTCCGTGGCCTGTCTTCCTGTGCAAAGATGAAGCGTGCAGTTGTTAGCTAATTTCTACTTCTGATGCTTGTTTAACAGCCAAGAAGTGCCTGCTCATAAAGAGTTCAGCTGTTGGTGGCATTTCCCCATCAAAGTGCTGACCTGACCATGTGGGTTCAGGCAAGTTTCTGTACTTTGGAGAGCAACATGATGTTCTCCTGAAGTGGGACTGAGTTATGGATGGTATCTCTCTTAAGCACGCAATCAGTAGTAAATGGTTTTGTGGTGTGGATATCTCTGCAACTGTAGTTGGAGTTAAATCTCAGATTGTTTCTGAACTTAATACTGGGCATCTAGAGAGCCCAGCTGTGGCAGCTGCAAAGATGTCCACTGCTGTTGCAACCTTATGTTTCAGATAGGCTTGTGGCTGTCAGAAAGGCAGAGTACCTGTTGAATTCTGCACTGATCTAGCTTTTGGATTATCTGGAATTTGATTTTGTTTCTGGCTTTAGTTACATCCTTCTGTCCTCCAATTTTCTCATCTGCAAAATGCAAATTATGCTACTGCTTTCGTTTGTACAACTCCTTCAGATCTACTGACAAAGAGCAGTTTATAAGTTGTGGGCATAAATATTATTTTAATAATATGAAACATTGTCTCCTTTCCCCAAAACACATTTACAGGCAATCTGAAAATTTGGTTCCCTTCTCATTTAGAGATAGAAGTACTATTAAGTCTAAAACAGTGTTGATAACCTTGTTTTTTTACTGGAACTTCTGCCATTGGTAATTTTATTTTCTAGGATTTTCCCTTCAGGTGGCATCTTTGAATAATTCAGTAGCTTTTTCTTTTTTTTTATTTTTTGATCTGTAATAACCTTTGTCTAATTTTTTCAGTAGCTTCTCAGCCTGTGGAGACTAGTGACAATACATCGAGGAAGCTACAGAACAAGATGGAAAGTCTGCAGAACCTGGTGGAAACACTACAGATGAAAAATCAAGGTGCCAAAATTTATCAAAACAATGCCTTGTTAGAATACCCATATTGCCATAAACTATTTGTGATACCAGCTATAGAATTAGCTGTGGTTTCGTATTCTATCAATTCAGATGTGTCTGACTTAGTAGCACCCACTTGCACTTTATCCAGCTCCTATGAGAGTAATTAGCTTCATGGCACAATGCGCTGTTGCTCAGCCCCTTAACTCTAACAAGCTTCAAGATCCTTTACATTTCAAATGTGGTATCTGTTCAGGTACCCCATGTGCTATCACGTCCAATTAAATGAAAATTTTCAAGAGCTGAGGATACTTTCAGGGAAACATAGATATTCTCATGGTAGAAGAGTTCAAAACATCCATAGTTTCCCAGCAGTGGCCATCAAGCACTTCCTTTCCTCCTCAGTGTTGTGTTTGTTTGTTTGTCCTTTTTTTTTTTTTTTATCTGAGGTGACCACAGTCAAGTCTGTGGAGGACTCTTGAAGTTCATTCCTTTACCATCTTTGAAATGACCTTCATAAATAAACCTTCATAATAATAATAATAAATAAAATAAACCTTCATAAATTCACATGATAGCAGGATGCCAGATGAGACAGACTTCCTGTCTTTTCCATGCTTATTGCACATTCCATGTGTTGGCCTTGAAGTCTCCCTCCATGAATTTAGAAAATTCCTATTTCCCCTCATCATACAGTTCATATAGGGATATGTAAAGAATCTGATATAGGTAAAAATAGTCAAATTGTTTTATATAAAGTATAAGGTAACTATTTTCCATGTCTGTTAATGTTTTTAGGTCACATGTTTGCTGTACCATACATTCAAAGTATATATTGAAGTATTGTAAGTTATCTATGTGAAAAGGATGAAATCAAAAAGCAATTTATGTGCATGCAAAGTAAGCCCCATTGCATGAGTGATGCAATTAGTTTGAAATTATTACATAAGAGAAAGTCTCAGTTGCTAAATTCAATAGCATTTTGTCACTTAGTCCAGCTTCAGATGTGACCCTTTGGTCCAGAAAGCAGATTAAGTGGTGTCCATTGGTAATTGGGTTGATCTTTGCTATTAAAAGACTGAAGTTTAAGAAATACAACATGAAGTTATATATGTAAGGGCTTGGTAAGTGCAGAGTATGACATGTGGGATGGTCTTATACAGCTTTATGTGTCTGCACTTCAATCATTTTAACATTGGACAGTGTTCAGATAATCTCCTCTTGCTGCTATTTTCAGCAATGTCATCAATGATCAGAACTCAGGAGAAGAAGATAGAGAAAGTGAAAGAAAAGGAGAAAAAAATAGCTAAATGAAGACATCTTATGCCTTAGTAATTGCTTTCACGTATGTATATTGTATTAAAAATATATTATACCTTTGAAGATGAATAAAGGTTCTTGCAGTTTCATAATCTCTGCCTGGAACTGGCACATTTATTGCGGTCCTCATTTGAAATGAGTGTGAAGTACAGAGGAGTGAGCATATATCTAAATACGGACTCTTTCACTGGCACACATTTGGAATAGCTACGTGCCTTGAGGGACGCCGGCCACAGGGAGTTGCTGACTACGCCAAGTTCCAGCAAAGCATGTGCACCCTGTATATTCTGCTGCTTGCACACCATTTCAGGTACTCTTGTTTAGAAAGTTAATTTTGGAAAATCTTATTTCATTTTTTTAAACTTCTGAAAAAAAATCCATCCCTTATCCTTCTACCTATCCTTCTTGTTATTAGTTGAATAAATTATGATTCATCTGGATTTCCAGAATGACCAAATATTTGCAATGCAAGAAGGAAGTTTCCCTTGGCACTCGTTAACGCTGGGATAGAGGAGGTGTTGACCCCATGCCTACAGCTGCAAGACTGCACAGATTTCATCCTATACCATGTTTCCTTGAAGCAGAATGGACTCATCAAATGGTATTTTTTGCCTTCTTTTCTCTTGTTGTGATGTTAAGTTTTGTGCTTAGGTGAAGGGGAGTCCACCACCCGCCCCAGGGGTTAGCTTTGTAGACACAGCACTCATATTTTGACTTACAGCCAGAAGGCTGAGGGTGTGTAGGTTCTGGTTTATTGGGAACACTCTGGCCTTTAGCAATCCTTGGCTTTCTGTAGAACTGGAAAAAAAAAAAAAGCGGGGGGGGGGGAGGAGAAATCGGGCAGAAAAACACATTTTGCATCAACACTGACTTGTCTTAAGGGCTCTAAATACCTAAGTACAACTTAAATGTCAGGCCCTAGCACCCATTTTAAAAAGAAATTTCCTAACATAGCAGGACACTTTATTTCTCATTGCTCTTCAAAACCTTTCTCAGCTGAGTCACCAGAACACATTGCCTTCCCTTAATATGCATGCCTAAGAATAATTGTCTTGAAGGCCACTCCTAGTCTAGGATTTAGTTATAAACAGGAAAGAATGGTTAGCACATCTGGCATCTTCAGGCCTGTTTTTAAAACTCCTGTGACTTCTGACATTTGAAGATTCTTGCAGTAGTGGCCTTAGGGCACCTAATTAACAGAATATCTTCTGCTAAAACCAATTTCAAATCAAGAAGATCAATAGTATCACTCAGAAATCAGATGGATGGATGGATGTTTAAAGTCTCATTAGAATTTGCTGGTATCTTGGGGAGCAAGATAGTTGTAGAAAGAAGACAAAAAAAAAAGCAGAGGAAGCTTATACCCTGCCCCTTGCCCCCCCCCAAATGAATTACTTTGCCAGAACTTGCCACTTAATTCTTTTTTTTCTGAGGACTGTTCGTAAAGACCCACTGCAGTGCTACCCCTTTAGTGTCCACTTTTTTCCACTTCCTCATTGCAACAGCGTTGCAAGCTTTAGTTATGTTAGTAAGTGTACATCCCTCTTCCTGGCAATGAGTTGCATTGACGATGATGGGTTTCGGTGGGGTTTTGCATTATAGTTTACGTATTAGAGAGCTTTAGCCAGGATTTAGTAAGAAGGAGGTGATGTGAGGGAGGGCATGTATTGAGCCTACAGCAGAGCAGGCTTGGAAAGGTCAATGACAGGTGCCTTTCCAGCTGTGCTCCAGCAGCCAGGATAAAGGGAGATTCCAAAGGCCTGTGAGAATGGAAGGGAGCAGGTGGAGAGATGCAGATAGCCAGGGGGAGAGGAGGTCTGCCAGGCAGAAAAGCAGCCTGACATCCTTGTGCTGGAACCCAGCAGAGTTGGGTGCAGATCTGGGTTGATTTTCTGCCACCACCAGGAAGGAAAACATGAGCTTGGGAAGGTGAAAAAGCCGTGGATTAGCAGGGCCGAGCCCAGATTATCTGTGCCCCAGACTTCACAGTGTGACTGGCACTTAGTTTTCCTATGGCATACAAATACAGGTGTATGGGTGACAGGAGGTCTGCCTAGGCAAAGTTTGCCACTAGAAATAGCAACCAACTCCCTAGTGATAAAACCTGACACATATCTGCTGAGTTCAAGTGGATCATATACTTGTAGCAATAAATTTAATCTCCAGTGAATAGAAGGGGCTTGATTTCTGCAATGACATCTGCAATAAATAAGCAGCAAGTTGCAATGCAAGTTCCTGTATTCCACTAAGTAATTCCTGCTCAAAGTACCCATTCCGGCCCTAGGCTGTCTGCTCAGCTTAGCAGCAGCTTTACCACTTGGCATTTGCACACCAGAGTGCTTCGCAAATGAGACTAGATTGCATTAAAAATAGCCAAGTTGGCAAGAGCCAAAGCAGATTGCAACCCAAGACCTACAAACCAAGGCAGTGTCTCTCTGTCTCTTTGCCAAGCTGAGCAAGGCAATATGTCATTTGCTTTCAGAAATCCCAAGCTGCTGCCTGCGAGGCTGCTCTATCTACATAGGAATGTCAACAGAGACTTCCCACGTATGGCTCCCACCCGCGCTCAGAGGCAGAGCACTGTCTTGGACACGTTGTCAGCCCTTCCTAGTATGACTGGCTTTGTGTAAGAAAGCAAGCTTGTACCTGCTTAACTCTGCCTTAAGACTTGAGTGCACTGTTCAATAAGGAGAAATTACCTCTGTAAACTCAGACAATTCTTAGTAACTGTTTCTTTGCTATTGAAATTCATTTTTTCATTTGTTTCTTTTTTCATTCATTGTTTGTTTCATTTACCAGGCAAATGACACTTCATTTGCAGAGCATGGTCCTGCTAGGCAAGGACTAATGTGAACACTGCGGTGTTTTAGACATGCGGTACAGTCTGTATATAAATTTTCTTGGTCTTTCTGTAAGATAGTTCAGCCATGAAGACTCTACACGTTCTGTCTGTGAGATCAAAGTACAGGCTGTTTAATTTGAAAAAAATGTTCTCGTTTATAATTTGAAACGGTTCAAAGTTAGCCTGAAACCTGTTTATGTCTGCATTAGAGGATCTATTCTAGTATAGGTTAAGTGGCTTTCTAGTGACTATCTTAATCCAATAACAGAGTTCATCTTCTCAGACAGACCTCCAGCACATGTATATAGTTCTGCTCTAATAGCAAAGGTAGTTCAACAAGTGTTTTAAGTTCACAGTATCTTAATATTTGGAAAAAAAAACTAGCAAGAGTGGGCAAAAAGAACTTAGGGCATTTTCAAATCACATACCTGCCCTCAGTCTGAGTAGTTTTTGAAATCCTATTTCAACTGTACTTCTTGGGTATATCTGTTGTTTTTGGTAGAAAAGTGAATTCAAAAGTGGCAGTATGATTCTACTAGGAGCTATGCAGAGTTAAATGAGTTTGAGTTAAAGCTATGAGTTGCTGCCTGAAGCTCACACACGTTTTGTGTATCCAGTTGCTGACAGACCTTAGAGCTTTCTGTTTATATTCAGAGAGGATGCAAGGCCGTAATGAAGCAGCAGTATTTGTTACAGTGCAGCAGTAACTCCTCTGTTACAGGGAGCTTCATGTTAATATTTTCAGCCCTAGGGGTATGTCCAGTCCTTGGGAGCATTAGCTTGCTCCCAAGTAGATAGCATTTCCTTTTCCCTTTTGAGGGTTAATGTGAAAAGTTTACAGTCTTGAACTCTTTCCCAACACCCTTTCATGCAATGTTCTCTTGCATAGAACGTGTTTTGAGAAAGGAAATGAGACCTGTTTTCTCCTCAATCTTTAGGTTATTTAAAACAACCAGGAACCCTCTCCTCAAAATAAGGCTCAGGCCTGTCTTTAGCTGGTCTGTGGCTATGTCTACATGAATAGGCAATGCAACTCATTTAGAAAGGTTGATTGAGGAATATACCAAAGGAATATTGTATATTGAAACAGCTGGCACCTAAGACCCAGGAAAAACATTTCAGACAGTTCTTGGTAGCTGGTCTTCTGCATTAAATTGCTAATTTCTACAATTCCAAAAAAAAAATCCAAGAATTCCTTAAGTTTGTACAAGATTGTACTCTGTTTTAGATGCGATCCCCTCCCTTACCCATCAGTGCTGTCCAGGTTTTTTCTAAAGCCTGGGCCCTCACTGAGCAAGTAATTTATTAAGCTCATCAGACAGTAGCTTCTGACCTTCGCTCTCTGCTTAGCGGGATGATCTAACTAAAAGAGACCTATCTGCCAAGCTTTCAATTGGGCTGAGGTACATCCTGAGAGCAGGGACTGGAAAATGAAGTACTGAAGAGTTCAACCCTTCATTACTCCGGTGGGGAAGCCGCTTTGGGGGAGCTTTTTGCACTAAAAGTACAGGTCAGTTATATCAGTTCTATGCAGTTTTAATTAACAGTCAATTGACAAGCCAAGTTACAAAGGACTGTCTGTCTGAAAGTCTTTATTGTTTCTTTATACATTACATAAGTTAAAACACTTAAGTTCCTATTACAGTGTACATAGCCACACTTTCTAGGATGCTTTTGAAGCCCTAAGCAGTTTGTACAACAATTCTTCCCACAGCCCCACTCTAAACAAGGCAAACTGAAGTCCAGGGTCCAGATGATCCTGCTTGAAACGCTGCTTGTGCCTTCATAGCCAACCTTGCACATCTTCAGAAGACTTGGAGGTTGACTTATCTGCTTGCTAACTTATCTCCTAAGGACAACAAAATCTGCTGCTCGTTCAGTTTAGCCAGGTTTGACAAAAGCCATACAGAGCTCTGCAAGTGAGATTGTCTCCTACTGAAGAGGTGTTGAGTTTCAGGGCTGTGTGATGTATCTAAGCAGGTTTGCCATGAAATAAGCAGCTTGCAAGGTTTAACTAATGATACCCCCACCACTGGTGGGCCATCTGATCTTCATGTGCAGTCACTAGGGTTCTGTTGCTGCATTCTTCCCAGCGTTTGACCTTGCCGTTCTCCACCAGGATAAATTTCCACTCTAGGGTGGTGTCCACTGGCAACGTAATAGATTCGGACCAGAAGCCATCCTTGTCATACTTGAGTGGTACGTAGCTGTGCCACTGCCCCAGACACTCGTGGTCACCTGTAACACCAATCAGCTGAGCATCTGAGTGTGTGATATAGTGCACACGGAAAGTCACATGGATATTTTGGAACATGGGGGGCACGGCTGCAACTCTCTTTGCTTTCAAGTCCCCTTCGGGGCAGTCTCCCTGTTCCCATTCCTTGCTGTCACAGTCTTCGGTGCTGCTGCTCTTGGCAGTGTCCCCCCAGGCCTGGTGCTCAGAAACAACCTCCCACTCTTCGTGGTCCAAGTCCCTACTCTCCATGGGCGGACCCAGCAGCTCTTCACCCGTGTCCTTACGCACCTCAGCAGGGGCTTCTGCCAAGCTCATCACACACCAGCCATCGCTCGCCTGCCCCTTCTGGGGCCGCGGCTCCCCTACATGGCTCCTGGATGCCTCATTTGGATGCTCCTGGGAGCCGACAGGCTGCCTGGCCAGCAGTGGCTCTGTCTCCGCAAGCTTGCGAGATGCTCCATCACTGTGAACGTGGTTAAGCTCCGTCCTCGCCGCAGCTGCCAAATCCTCTTGTGGCTTCTGAACACCAGGCGGCACAGCGGCCTTGGCTTCCCGCGGGACATGCTCACTGCTTGCTGCAGGCTCCCCTAAAGCACAAGACTGGGTTAAACCTCGGTAAAGCAGAGCTCAGTGCCACCCCACGGGCAGCACCCCGGGGCCGAGCCCTCCCTGCCCTTCGAACCCGCTACCTGTGGACGCCGGTCCGCGCACAGGGGGCCCCGCGGCGCCCAGGCCGGCCCGGTGCGGGGCCGCCGCCGCTTCCTCGGCCTCGCCGCCCCGCTCTCCTCGCCCGTCGGCGCCGCCGTACCAGAGCCAGGCGGCGAGCGCGGCCAGCAGCGCCACGAGGAGCGCGGGCCAGAGCCCCGCTCCCAGCCCGGCCCAGCCCGAGGCGGGCAGCGGGACGGCGGCCGGCGGCGGG